TATCTCACCTCAGGTAACACATTAATAGTTCTGCATTGAGCCTAGTAGAAACATCTCACACACCTCAACATATAAAACTGTGCTTCCAGAAAGTTGAACAAAAGCAAGCAAGCAACAATAAAAAGCACAGGAGAATTTTCAGAATTCCCAGCTTTTTTCTGAACCCTTCAAAAAGCAGGAAGGCTTTTGTTCCTAAACACCTCACTCCTCAAAAATCTCCCCCCAGTAGTGTTTTACTGCACACAGGTTGTTAAATGCCATATATAAAAGAAATATCAAGAAATGGGCTATTTAATAAGAAAGTGAGAAGTCTCACTGCTGAGGCTGAGTTCTGACTCCAGCAGTTTGTCAGATCACAGCACACAAATGCTGCCAAGCCTGGCTTTTGATGGCCACAAAGCAGCATTTCTGCACTGGCACTCTTCTCCAAAGGGCTGATTAGTGGTGACTTGTTCCACTTTCAGTACCTGCTCAAGCACTTCTGAGCCTACACTCAAGAACAAGACCAGAAAAGATGCAGTAGAAATACAGGCCTGAAGGGAAGGGTAGGGAGTCAGGTGTGTGTTTGTGAGGGCAGAGAAAGAAACAAAAGTGGAGGTTGTGCAAGATGGTGGAGAGGACAGGAAACACAGGATTGATGTTCTTCTTTGACAGAAAAAAAATGGAGATAAGTGGATTTAAACAAGGCAACAGATGAAAAACAGGGACACAGTTTCTCACGGGCATATCTCTTGCATGTGTGCTGCCTGATATAACCAGACCTTGTTGCAGTTGCAGCTGGTACCCAAGAAAATCAACTCCACTGAGAAATGCTTTGCTTATTTTTCCAGGGTATTTTGTAAAACATTCTTTACTGCCTGTTGCAAACACCAAATATCCAGGAGACTATGAAAACCAATATTCCTCTGCATGCCTCATTTCTGTACTCCTAAAGCTCTCTTTGTTGTGTCAGTAAAGTGTTGGGCCAGATCTTACCAAAACCAGTTGTTCTCTCAGCTGTTCAACCACTCGTTTGTGTGCTCGAGCCAAGGCAATAACATAGAACATTATGATGCTGTAAACAACAAACAAAAAGGGAGGACTTGAGATTTCCTATGTGTGTAACAACAAGTTCAGTTCAGGAGAACACATAAATGTGTGCTACAAAAGGAAGGGCTGGGTGGAGTCCTAAATAAGCCACATGGTTTTTCAAGCATAGAAGTTTTAGATAGCATCAGGTAATAAGGCTCAAAGATTTGCAAACCATTTAGTTAAACTGAAATGCAAAAAACTCCATTTAAACTTAAGAAAACCACCCCTTTTGGAAGACTGACCAGACCCTGGAACAGTATTGTGGAGTCTCTGTATCTTTGGAGATACTAAAAAATTTAACTGGGGATGGTTCCTGCTCTACTTGACCCTGTTTTTAACAGGAGAATTGGGTTAGATTCTCTCTACAGGTGACATCCAACCTTAAAAATTCTACACTGAATTTCATCTTATAGAATGACTGTTTTGAGAGTTTTGTTTTTTCAGACTAGGGTTTGTGGATAGAAGTTGTGATTAGAGGGCTTATAGTACTAATTTGCAGAGTATTCACAGTTAACATTATTGAGAAGGACACTGTTGAATATGGGATGTGCAAGGGGAACTGGAACAAAGCTGATGAGTATGAACACATGGGCAAAGACATAAGGGCTGAGGATTCACATGGGTTTTGATGCTTTTGACTGCAAATGGAAAATCGGTCTAATAGATGCTTGGTATGAGCTCAGTAAGCAAGGAAATCCAGCTGCATAAGTGAATCAAGTCTCCACAGTACTCACCAAAGGATCACAAAAAAAGGCACTGCAAAGGCTTCTGATGCAATGCCAAAAAGGATCTGCTGCAGACCTGTTGGAAACTGAAGTATTGTATCCGGAATAACTTCCCACGAAGTGTTATAATTCCTGAATGGCCCACATGCCTTGGAAGAGGGGATACTGTCAAAGAAGTAGAACAGAAAGATGTTACACCCAAATGTAAAAATAAAATAATCCAACACAAGCCCAGTACCAGTTTGGTGAATCAGTAAAAGTGTCCTATGTCTATAAAACTGTAATTTTTGTTTATATGAACTAAGCTATAAGTTTATGTGTTATACCCTATATATTTTATTCCATTAATCATTCTAAAGTGTTGTGTCTGCTTTTACAGAACTGACAAGCTTAGAACTTCACAGAACTTAAAATTGTCACCTACCGTGCTATGCTGAATCCCAGAGGGATAAAAGCCAAGAGGAGCCCTATCAACAGCACCACCAGGAAGAAAAAGTTGGAGCTTGATGCCCTTATAGGCCTTGCTGCAGGTTTGCGTGTGTGTATCAAAACAATCTGAAGAGGGAAGGTGAGTAAAACTGTTACCAGTACATCTATACAGATATACATCCAAATACACTTCCCCAAGCAACTGAATTTTCCATTCTCAACCATGCCACCAGCTACCACACAACCACATCCTTTGATGTGCATGGGCTGAGAAGATTGCTTCACATTTTGGTGTAAGTCAATGTCTCCTAATTTGTGTAAGAATTTGATCCAGAGGACCTCACACACTTGCACAGAGTCAACAGACGCAGGCATTTGGTGTACAATCCATGGCACTGCCATTGGCTTTGTTCTGCCACATCTTCACTGGATACATCACCTCTTGCAAGACCTAAAGCATCAGCAAGAATTGGAGGCACAGAAGGAGCTGTGTGGTCACTGTGCAAAACTTCTGATAGTCAGAAATCACATGCACATCCAACCCAGCTTGGCTTTTCCATTTTGCTCCCAAATTTTTAGAAGTTTTGCAGAATTTTGTCCACATTCTAAGCCGTGTTGCTAGTAAGTAGATTTGCAGGAAGACTTTTGCAGGAAAGTCTTATAAATTAGTTTTGGTACATAAAAAGCTTTTCTTAAAAAAAAAAAGGCAAATAATTTGAGAAGTTTTGGCTTTGTTTGATTTCAAAGCAAAATTCTGTCAGTTAAAAGCACAAAACCTTATTAAAAATGGAATATCACTGGCTCATTCCATCCACTGAATCCACAGGTGGTTTTAGGGTTTTTTGTTGGTTTTAGATCACCTGCATATTTATATGCCTGCATTACAAAAAAACAGAGAGATGCGCTCAATTCTTTATCAAGCATGTGCCTCCATTACCTTTTTAACATAGAAGATGATGAAGTATTTTATAGTTGCTATTGCAGGGAGAAGTGGTGAAAAGAATGTTCCAATCCAGCAAATAGTCTGCCCATAAATGATTTCCAGGACATTGTCAGAAATTTCAAATTCCTTATGTCCAAACCACTGAACAAGCTTCCAAGAGCAATGAGTAACTAACAACCTGAAACCAAAGAATATTGTTAGTCCTAAAGTGAAATTGTAGAATTTAGATGCAGTCTAACACATTTGAAACACACACAACTTAGCATTTAAGCATTAGACAATGTAATAGAAAAGGTTTGAAGAAGAAAAGCTCTCAAATAGCAAAACCTATACAGCCATCTGAGGAGCAAACAGGTGCTCAAACCACCAGAAATATGTTTATGCTTTATTTTAAAACTAGGAATTTGGTTAGCAATATGGGGAATTTAAAGCAGAAAAAAGAAAATGTGTTTCATATGTCATTTGTAAAAATATGCTCAAAAAGCAGAGATACGTACTTTCTGGGGAAGTCCGCAAACAGGGCCACAGCAAGGATTACAATAAAATCAAATATCATCAGTTTGTACATTTCTTGCCCAACATCAGATTCCCAGCACTATAAAACAAGTCAGGAAATACAGGATTAGCAGTCTAAATAAACAAGTGAAAAATCTGTCTATCACTAAAGCAATAACCATTTCAGTTAACACCATGAAAGTTCAAATGCTATTTAACGGCAATTTCTAAAATATTCAAGTGTTTTAAAGTTCCCATGCCAAGCTCTTAACTTTTTTTTTTTGTTTGATTTTGGGGTTTTTGTGTGGGGTGGGGTGGGAGGGTGGGGGGGGGTGGCTGGGTGTGTTTAGTTTGGTTTTGGTGGTTGGGGTGGTTTTTTTTGGGTGGTTTTTTTTTTTTCTTTTGAGGAAAACCCATTTGTCTTAATGCTGCAAAAGGCAGTAGCACAATGTGTCCAAAACACAGCTACCTCAGACAATCCTCATGCAGACAGAAAGTCTGTGCTAAGGAATCATCTGCCACTGGACTAACTCTAATCAGACTTTTAGACAAGCAAATAACTGCAACAACTGTATTGGTTTGCACTGAGTAGTGGGAATTAACACCAGGTATAGCCTGAACGGCAACCCCAGGGCTCCTACTGAACACCTCTAGACAAGCAACTCTCATGGAAAACAAACCTCTGCTCACAAGCTCAGATGATTAAATACCAAGATAAATCTACTTACAGGATAGAGTTTGTAATTGTATCCACAGGGCTTACACTTGTCACTGCCACAGCCGGCGATCTGACTCCACAGTGAGAACAAGAGAACGCCAATATTGGCCAACCGCACGAAGACACACCTGGAAGAAAGGCAAAACCTAACTCCAAACGTGCCAAAAAACAGTCATGTTAACACTTGGCTCACCTTGTACAGAGTCCAAGGAAGCCTTAAAACACAAAAGGGTCATGCAGACCTTTAACAGGGCAGCCAGCCAGACAATAAACACATTTCTTTCCTTAGTAGTAAGTTAAAATTCCTTTTGACCTTCCCAGCTGTAGGCTATAGTCCCTTGTTTCTTTTCTCAGTAGTGTTCCTAGATGAGTCATTTCATTTTCGAGGTTGCAGACCTCGATGCTGCAATGGGTGGCAATTCCCTCAGGTACAGTTCTGTGTGCAGCATTTCCATTTTATATAGCTTCAGGCTTTCTGAGGCACTTGGCCAAATCACAGATACAAAGGATGGACTTGCAGAGCTCAGGTGCTTCAGCCCAGATTTTACTGCCTTAAACTGCTGAACATCAGCTCTTACATTGACACATCTTTTACCCCAAAACTTTTAACTTCTGCCTTGAGCAAAGATGTGCTTCAGTCACTGCTGTACACTCACTTTTGCTTATTTAGGGAACTGCTGCATGCAAAGCAGTGAATCCATAGCTCTGCAGCCACAAGTTCTCTACTGACTGTTTATTCAGGTTGAAGATGTCCAGACCACACATAGCTAAATGGACCAAGCAAAAACTTGGACACGGAGATGATTGCACTGCATTGTCATCAAAACACATTGTTCCCACATTTAAAGTTTCCAATTAAACATTGGCAAAACAATGCCTCCTTGGTTTCCAGTGACAATTTCTCTACTTCCTGATGTTTCAATGTTAACAATACATATAGCATACCAAGAAGAAGTTGTTGAAACATCCAAGGACACAATAAAATCATCTTTACCTCAAGAGTGTCAGCTTGATTTCAAAGGCTGGTGTATAGTCTTCAAATCTGATCAGAAATGCAAAGATCAGAGGACCGATGAAGTTGGCCAGTGTGATCACCATGGAAGGCAAATACTGCACTAAGAGATTAACCTGGGAGTTTACATTGCCAGTGTCCTGCAGGAGAAGAGATGAGACAAACACAATACTCAGAGAAACACACCTTCCTGAGCGTGCTCTCTGCAGCTACACCAGCCTGCCTTGTCCAGGATTCAGGCAGCATCTTTTACTCCTTCTTCATCCTCCACCAACATTTGCACCAGGCAACATAAATGGAAAACCCAGGGCTGATTCTGAATACCTCAAGACAATCAAGTTTCATGGAAAATAAGTCGCTATCCTTTATATAAGCCTGATCACAGCTGTCTCTGCAGTTTGCTGCTACACACCCTTGCTTGCTTTCTCCTGCTCCTTTCACTAGGAGCTCCCTCCCCCTCCAGGTAATAGTATTTCTGTGCTTCCTCAAAGCTTCTGTTTAAAGAGGTTTAACTCACCAGTGTTTGTGTCTGACTGTTGCTAACCAGCACCAAGGCTACCAGGTTTTACAACTATTCCAAGAGCAGACACTTATCAATTTATTCTTACTGGTGCCAAGCAACTCCCCTGACTCTCCTACAATCCTGACAAGCTCCTCCAACTCATTAAGACAAGGTCAAGGTAACAACCCTTCTGCTTAGAGGCCACAGTAAGTGAAGCTGTTCAGTGTTGTGCAGTCCTCTTCTCTGCCCTCAAACAATACCTCTGACATATCAACTCATTTAGTCCCCATTTCCTGCTTCTGTCTGTGCAATCCTGGCAGTTTACAGAAGTTCAGAGTTAGGTCCACATGAGCACTACTTTCCTTGTGAACAGCTAAGTCCATCACACCAGGAACTTACATGGGGGAGAGAAAAATGAAAGGTGCTATATTAAGATACTTGACTCTTTCACAATAGCTCCTCTTGCTGTAATCACCAGCCTTCACCAAATCTGTCCTAGTGTCATTTCTTATACTCACACTGGAGTTTTCTTGAGAGAAGACAGTTACTCTATAAATTGAGTAAAAACATCCTGATAAAATGGCAATGACAATTATATTTATAAATATTCTCAGAGTGTAGATGCGTAGCTTTTCTCCCATTTTCCTCTCAGCTATTTTTTGCTTCAGTTTTTCTTCCTGCAAGTCCGTCTACAAAGAAAAGGAAAAAGAGATGCAGTTTTTGGGTGCAGCATACAACACTTAACATTATGTCTTCTACCCTGAGAAGTGCAAATCTGTAGCCTGTCCTAGGAGAATCACTCCAGTGCCTGCCCAAGCACACAGAACAGTGTCTTTTCTTTGACAAAACAGGTCCATGCAGGAATGGAAGCCCCTGTGTGCTCAGCCTCCTTGAGCTGAGGGCTCTGTAGCCAAAAACACGTGTCCTGCAATCCTCTTCTCTCTACTGTATCAGCAATACATTTCCTTGAGGACAGACAGTTTGCCTATTTGTTGAGAGAGACTGATCTCAGCATGAAACTAAACTCTGAATGGGTAAACTAGTCATTCATCCCATTACTTCTGCAGGTAAATAACCAGCCCTCACCACTATGGCTCAAAATTCCTCCTCTTTGTGAAGAAAAATTGGGCAATGACACTGAAAGAAGGAAGAAGAGTCTTGAGCAGCTTGTCATGTAAACTTGGCGTATTTCACCTTAACTGACATGAAGATACAGTATCTCCTGTGAAGGCAATTTAACCTGGGAAACCCACGTTAACACCCATATGAGTGTATTTTCAGAGGAGTTATGTCCATCAAACAGTATTATTAAGGGGCTAGTTCTTCTAAGATGTGTATTCTGAAGGCAAAAGTGTAGCACATGAAGGAGGTTCTGATTCTATGATGAAAATAGATTACTGTGAACTTCACTGGAGCAGAAAGCAATTCACTGTAATTTATGAAATCTGTAATTACCACTTTGTGGTTTGAAGTGGAATCATCTTCTCAAAGGTAATTTTTTCACTACACAAATCTCTGCTTCCAGTGTACAGAGAGCAAAAAGGTCCTTGTTTTACCACAAGAGCCTTTCAGACTCTTCAGAGCTTTCTGCTTTGGGAAATCTATAGCTGCATCAGCATTTTGTATGTGCATGTGTGCCAAAGACACCTACCTAGTGAGAACTTTTCAGTATCTCCTTACTGCAACAATACTCTCAAACAGTACAAAGAGCACCATCTAAATTTTATTTCTCCCTAGACTACTGCTTACTGCACTGCATGCTTAAAGCTCAGAACACTCCAACTGATCCCTGCAGGGTTTTGCCTGCAGCTGGGACAGATTTTCCTGTTGGACTATACAGAAACTAACACAGGAAGCAGGACTGGAGTGTGAGGAAGAGGCAGATAAGCAGCTGACAGGCTGGCCTGGGTCCCCAGCGGATGGGGGCAGTGCCAACAACATCCGTGCCAATTTCTCACGTTGCACCATGACTCCAGCTACCTAGAAAGCATGCAAGAGGATGTGGCCTGTACCCCCAAAACAAGCAACTTCAATCCTTCTTAACTTTATTCCCTTATCTGCAAAATTGCACCCATCTATTTTTAGTCATCTAAGCTGAATGAAACCATAATCACAAAAAGGCAGAAGTTACTCACCTGGAGCTCGTATTGCAAGCTGCGATGTTTCAGCCGGGCTGCACTTGGATCTGTAATGCAGAAGTCCCAGCCTGCAAAGACTTTGTTACAATAACTCTGAAATGGATCTGCATCATGCACTAAGTTTTGCTTAAAGCCTTCCACAGACCTAGAGAGAAATTTGTGAGAAGATGTATTTTAGGCGCAGGAAAAACACACACAAGCAACCTGTCTGATCAAAGACTAAATGAGCCCCTCTGTAAGCAAACTGTCCCCTTTGCTTAGCACCAGCCAGTGTCTGGGACTCTTTCAGTGTGAGATTCTGCAGCAGCTGACCCTGACTGATACAGGTTATTCCTACCTGCACTTCACCACAGTCACACCTTCTCACCTCATCCAGACCCAGCAAAGGAAACTGAGATGGCACAAATAAAACTCAACAAAAACCCCCTAAAAATCCTCCAAAAATTCAGTATAGTAGAGGAGCTTTTACTTATAGGTATGCATACATAGAAAACAATTTGAAGTATCAGTTTTTCATTTTTCCCAAGCACTCAAAAGGCTACTGTGGTTCAACATCCTCAGGCAAAGGCTCCACTTTTCCACATAAACAGCTCTAGAACACAGTATGTTCCCTTCAAGAAGGAGTACAATCTAAACTGTGCAACAAGTAACAGTAAATAAACAACACCAAAATGTTTACCTCTTTATTATCCAGAGAGAACTTAAGGTCAGGTAGGCAAATGTAGCCAGGAGGTATGCAAGTGGCAAGTTATAGCTCATGATACTGATCCATACAGCATCTATTGAGTAATAGCCATAAAACAAACTTGTCACTTCAAGGAATCCCTGTGAAAATGAAGTTGAAATAGAATTTGTAACAGCAGCAACAACTGCCCCATTAAATTGAACCTGACATTAAGCAATCATTTTGCAAATTTAAAATTAGGGCCCCCAACAAGGTACAAGTCTGTAGCTTCTAAATACTCCCATTGCCTCTACCAAACTGTAGTGCAGGCACTGTGTGCTTAAAATCCCTCCCCTCTCCAGTCAAAGAGCTGCAGAACACAGACACTGGGACCGTACACAGAGAGCACAATAGGCAGTGTGCTCCAGAATAATAAAGGGTAGCAGCTGGGGAAGAGAGGCACAGGCTGCAGCATATGGCCAGCCAGGCCTTGTGGTCGCTCAGTAAAGTCAGTCTGAAAACTGCCCTTCTCAGAGATAACCTACCCCAATGATGCATATGCCTTACCATTTTTCAAAATTATCAAAGCTTCATTCCACAAGTAATTTTTCTTTTCATTTTAGATGCTACATGAGACACTTAATTTAAAAAAACCCAACTAATTACTTACAGTGCCACTGAGCAAATCTTTGAGGTAAGTATAGAAGTAAACAAGTCCCTTATTACCACTAGGTTTATAAATGGTGCAGGTATCATCTGTCAAAAGAAAGGCATGAAAAGTCACTCAAATGGTAATGCCCACCAAACTGCAAGATCACATTAATTCAAACATGCCACTCTTATAAAAAGGCTTTCCTTTTTTTCTGGGAGGTGGAGAGGAAGCTGATGGAAAGGAGGAATCTTACAACAGCTGTACACAGAGAAGATGTTTACCTATGTTCTTTGGAGAAATGTAAGCAATGGTACTGTTGAATATTCCGTATTTAGAAATTATGGTGGGAAGAGTAACAAAACTGAACATCAGGATAAAAATTATAAAGTTCAGCAAGACCAGAAAGCGCAGGAAGGAGAAGTAGGACTGGATGCCAGTACCAAATTTCCCTGGGAATAAAAGAAACATGTGCCAATAATTAACATGATAAAACCATTGAAAATACAGACAAAGCAGATTATAAAATAGTTTCACTGAACCAAAGAAACATTGTTAAAGCTAGTTTTAAGTACTACGGACTTTTAGCAATATAACTGAAATGCAGGTTGGACATATTAATAATTTTTCCAACGTATTTCTTTCTACCATATAACGCATTTTACATTCAGCAATAATAAGGGAAGAAAGTAACTTCTTAAACACATGTAGTTATATCTGAAACTATGCTCACACAGGTAAAACTGCCAATAACAGAAGCAACTTCCCAGAGGAGAAATGGACATCAGAATAGAAATACCTTCTATGCTGTGAATATCATGTCGCCAAAGCACCAGGTAAGATGACAAGCCCTTGACTTCACCAAGTGCTTTTTTCAATGATTTACTGCTAGTTCTTCTCCATTTCTTCCATTTAGATAAATGTTCTGTATCAGCCTGCTGAAAGTCCCTAAGAAGCCAGAAATACAGTTACTGAGCACAAGAAATAATTTTTCTTTCTATGTAACAGGGCTTAGCAGGATGGAGCCTGCCCACAGCCTTCAGGGTAATAGCTACAGACACACAAGCTCTCCCCATCTGATCTTGCTCTAATGCTCTAAACTTAATTCAAATAGGGCAAGCTGTCTCATGAAAAACACTCACCTTTCTTGGAGAAAAAATTAATACAAAAAACCCCCCAAAACAAAACAAAATTGGTAATAACTTTTTGAAAAAGTTGCTGGAAAGTGACAATTCAATGAATTTGAGAAAATATTTTTTGCCAGCACCTCTGGGGATGCACTCTTCTAATGACATGTTGCAAAACACTGAAAATGTGTCACTGTAATTTTTAACCACTCACTTATGGATTTTCTTACTATATGAATACATTTGCATTTTAAAAATTGCTGCCTGGTCAGCAACAGCATCAAGGAGAATTCTGAGTGGTCAGAGTTTTCATTTTGTTATTTCTTTCAAGAAACCTTAATACCAGACAAAACTTCACAGAAACATAGTTTGAAAATGGACTTGTATGCAGCAAATTATTTTCCAGCCTCGACACACTGAAGAAGGGCAGCAGTTAAGTAAGTACCCATGAGGACATGGTGCTGGGGTACCAAGGTTTCAGTTTTAAAAGACTTGTAGCCAACTCTACTCATGTGCCCAAGGGATGCACTGCCATGTGTGCTCTGTGCTGCCTGTTTCCTCATATTTCTATTCCAGCATTTTGGCAGGAAGTCAAATTAAACCTATACAAAGAATCAGGCAGCAGATGACCTCAGCTTTAAGAGCGAATACAGCTCCTCTCAAGAGATTTCATTCTGTGGAAACTACAGGCTGCAGTTTGCAGTGTTTTAACTCTGCAGAACTGTCTGGCCCATGCTTGGTTTGCATTTTAAATAGAGGCGTGGGCTGCATATTCATCTGAGCTACAGAAGTTGAGTGTTCAGCTCTCAGGACATTTATGCCAAGCACTTTGTGTTGGCAGTTGCTGCACAAATGCAGATCACTGATCTGCAGAAGCGCCAAGAAGCCCCACCAGAATCTCTCAGTGCTAACATGTGTAAACAAGCCTGGGACATTGCAACTCCACTCCTCCCTCCAGTTCCTTTTTCTTGAAGAGCTGAACTTTAGACACCCAACTTCAAATAAAATTCAGAGTATCGAGCACTTTCCTTTACCATGACCTAGATCTTCTACTGTTCCTTGTGTACAGGCCATAGCGTTAAACTCCAAGGTCAGGCTGTTTGCCACTGCTCTTGTAATAGTGTAGCTCTTGTTCTCCCTGGAGTACCAGACATTAATTGTACTTCCACCTCTCTTCTGGTTCATAACTACAACTACAGTGTACCTGATTTAAAGGTGCAGCTGTTGTTTGACAGCGCAAAACCACATCCTGTATCGTCGTCCTCAAAGCAGCTCTCAGCTCAGCAGTGAGACATGAGATAACAAGCACTGAAATTCAGGCGGGGCAAAGCAAGGTTTTTGCAATCCTCCCTCCAGGGGGTTACCACCAGGGGGGCATGAACAGCCCACAGGAAAGAGTCATTTAAAAAGGAATGGGCCGGGGGGGAGAAGATAAAAAGAAGCAAAGGGCCTGGGAAGTTTCCTATCAACTGTACAGAGAGCCCTGCATTGTGTAAGAGCAGCTAAGCAGACTCAAGAGCAGCAGCACTCGCATAGCAGCGAGAGGGTGCGGGGATGTGTGTGTGTTCATGCAGATAACACACAGCGACCCCTGAAAGCACAAAACCCTGAGGAAAAAACAAAAGAGTAACAAAAGACCAAAACAGAAAACATTGAGAAACCCATTTGTTTGCTACAGGTAATTGCCAGTTTTGACTAATTTCTTCCAATGCAACCTACTTCTGCCCCTAGTCAGCGACTCCCTCGTGCCAGCCAAGAGCACTCGGGCACCCTCTTGTCAGAATCACATGCCACAGGGTAAAACAGATACAGCCAAAGCCAGTTCTGCTTCACCCTTCCAGCGCACCTGAGCTGTGTTTAGGAAAAAGTCATTAAAAGAAAAAAAAAAAAAAAAAAAAAAAAAAAAAAAAAAAAAAAAAAAAAAAAAAAAAAAGAAGAAACGCGTGAAGATTAACCTTATTCTCCTCTTCTCTGCCATGGATTTCGGGTGCTCTCTGGCAGGGCGATCAGCCAGTTCGCCTGTCTCCGCTCGGGCCGCGTCCCCGCGGCTGCCGGCGGCGCCCAGCAGGGCCGGCCGGCGCTCCTGGGTGCCCCCGCGGCGCCTCCGCGCCGACTGGCAGCTGGGCAGCTCCTGCAGGAAATGCACAGGTGCGGCGGCGTGCGGCTCCTCGGCAAGGACAGAGAGCCCTGCGAGGGAGAGACAGGGGCTGCGGGTCGGGGTCGGGCACCGGGACCCCGCAGCGCCGCGAGGGGCGAGGCGAGGGCAGCGCCGCTCGCTCCCTCCCGTGCCGTGCCTCCATCCCCCCGCCACCTGCGGGGCCGCCGGTGCTGCCGCCGCCCCGCCGGCCCCGGCTGCCCCGCGCCCTCACCGCCGCTGTCCCGCTGCCATGCCGGCCCCGCGGCGGCCCCCAGCCCGCTCATGTCCGCGGGGGAAGCCGGAGCCCCGCGCCGGTGCTGCCGTTTCCGGGCGCGGCGGGGCCGCGGGGCGGCGGTTGTCGGGCCGGGGCTGGAGGGCGGGGTGAGCCTGCCCCGGGGCCGCCTTCCCCCGGCCCACACCGGCCGGGGGCGCCCGCCGCCAGCAGGATCGCTTTTTGGGACATGAGAGTCTTTCTGTTCCTCTTACCCTAGGCTTGTTTTAAACTTGCCGTGACGATACACGGCTGGGTGTGAAGGCTCCTGCCGCCAGCCCGCCCTCTCCGCTAGAAGGGGCTCACGCACCCCAGGTGCGGGGCTGGGGTGTTCTGGCTGCTGGGCATCTCTCACCGACCTTTGGCTTGGAAATAACTTTAGTTTCAATGTCTTCCGTCAGTATTAACTGCCCGTACTGATGTTGAGTGCTGTGAAAACTTACAAACTTCGATACCTTGTCAATTCTCGTTAGGTCACAAGCCCGAACTCACAGCTTGTTCTGTGACTGGGCGCAGTGGCGCAGGCTGCAGTGGAAGCAGCACAGCTTTACTCTTGAATGTGAAAACTTGGTGTGAACTGGAGCAAAAAGAGTCAGTAGATGCGGAACCTTTTTTCCCATCTGAGAGAGAGGGTGGGTTTTGTGTGAACTTGTAGTAAACGTCTCAGAGAGGCTTATTTATTGGAACAATTCTTGCCTTTTGTGTGAAAATAACAGTATATGTGACAAATAAAGAAATGAAACCTCCAGAAGTCTCAAAAGCTTTATATGGAGGGGAGAAAATTATTTCTAGCCTTTCTTTATTCTGCTGATATTTAAAAGATAACCAGATTTTTCTGAACATACTTCATGCACTTTCTGCAGTAGTTTTAAAAATAAGTCATTATGAGGCTTCAAAATGCTGAATCAGACACAAATGAGTATGCTTCTTCTGTTAGCTTTTGTTAGCTTCTGTTTCTTCTGTGTGTCATCAGCTCAGGTATGTAATTTTCAAATTGTTTTTCTAGCAACAATCTATGTTGGTAATCTATTTTCATAATAAAACCATAAAATGTCATTGATCAAAATAGAAGTTCTCAAAGTAATTTAGATGTACATGTTTGTAATCAGTGTTACCAGCAGAGGTGAAAGGTATATCTTGAGGGGAATTGTTGTGAAATACAGAGACGTGGAATTAAAGCACAGCAACTTCCTTATTGCACTGAATGACTTAAAAACCAACATAGAAACACACTGTGGAGGTGTTCTTGCCGTTGTGCTGGCAGGTTTGTCTTTGTGATGATCTCAAAGGTTTCTTCCAGCCTTGATGGTTCTGTGATTCTATAACTAATATGGATTTTTAGCTATTTTTGATGAGAACAACATATAACTTGCCCTCATCCTTCTGTATATCACTCTAGAGGCCTATCACTTTTTTCCTTTCTCCTTTTCAGAGAGCTCAGAGATTTCAGAGATCAGGATGGGTTTTGCCAGGTGGGATTTTTTGTATAGCGAAGGCTGATGCTGTGAGTGTGTCAGCAGGATTGGGGTGCTGGTGACAGAGCTGGACACCTCAGTGATACCCATTTGCACAGGTGATTGCTGTTCCTTGGTTGGGCACCACATTTCATGGGATTAATTTGAAAACTCCAGCTGATCATTCTGAAAACTCAGGGGATGGAAAATAAAACCTCTCAGCAGCACTCCTGAAAAATCATTTAGTGTTGTTGAGCATTAGTGCTGAGCCTGTGATTCATGTGCTGGATAAGAATGTGCATTTGTACCCACTGTTACTGGTAGCTTGAAGCCACCCAAGCATGGGCTGTCTTTGTGTGGCCCTAAATAGGAATATTTATGGGGTAAAGCTGCCCTGGGGTGTCATCTGGGGTGGCAGTTTCACTTTTTTCTTTATGTTTCTTTTTTTACCATGAAAAATACAAAGAGGAAAGGTGAATAATAGACTTGAGGTTAAAGAGACTCTTTCTGAAACTCTGTGTTCTAGAGAAGCATTGTGTTAATGATCCCATGAGAACAAATTTAAATAAAGATCGGAGGAATTGAAACAAGATTGACTTCCCCAGGAATTTTGTGAGAACATTCTCTAACATTATTTTCTTTTCAGTTGAGAAAGCTTTTATGACACTTGGAAATGTTTCAATTAATTTTATGGATCACAGCAATCCCAGGTGGAAAAACAGGAAGACAGACATGCTGAGGAGGAAAGAATGGATGATTCTACCAGAGCACAACAGTCACATGCAGGGAATGCAGTAAGTTCCACTGGTACATCATTTATCCAGTGTTCCTTATCCACAAAAGCAGCAGCTCTCAGTCTGTGCTGAGCACGGAAGCCAGTGCCATATTCTGTTTCCCAGGATGCTGGAGATAGGTCTGTCACATTTAGTAACACCATCCATTTCTGGGACAATCTTTCTTTTGTATGGTTCCTCTTCCTAATGCCACAGCTCCAAAATCCTTCTAAGCATTCAGGAAAGTTCTGAGTGATTGCTTTAATTTTATGGGGATCTCCTGTTTGACCTGGTACCTTGTGTATGGCCTGTGCATGGTGCAGGCAGCTCTGGGTCAGTACAGGAGATCTGCAGACATGTCCTCTGTAGCCATGCCAGGAATGTTGCTTAGGGCAAAACCTAATCTTAAAGTAGCATTAGAAAACTTCACTTAAGTTTATGTAGAATGTGTCTGGTACAGGCTAAACACGTTTTACTGAGTTCAAGAGGTGGAAAAGCACTAGTCATTTGGTAAAAGTCAGCAGTTACACCAGCACAGCTTCTGAACACAGAGTGGACTGATTTATTTATTGCCAGTTGCCCACTGGCATTAGTCCACAGGCTGACAGGGGTATTTTTCATCTGTCTGCATTTTTAGTCTTGCTGACCAGAGAAGTTACTTAGGAATAGTTGGTAGAAGTTTTAAAATATGTGGCTTCCTGGGGAGATAAAATATGCCAAAATGGCATAAGAAGCTATATCAACACAGAAGCAACTGGGAGTCTATAATCTGTACAGGATTAGCAAAAAAGAAAAAGGCAGGCCACAGGTCTGGGACAGCAGAGCCAGTCTTTTCATTACCCTGTTTGCTGCTTTGTCTGTGCCCACCCCACTGGTGGCTGTTCAGCCCCTTGTTCAGTTTGAAGATGCTCCTGCTCCAAAACACTGGTCTTTGGGAAGGGCCCTGGGAATACCCTGGCAGTGCCTGCAGTGTGCTGGGGAATCCCTGAGTCCAGCTGCAGTGGAGTGAGTGAAGGTGAGGCAGGTATCCCTGCTTTGGGATAGAAATTCACGTCAGAAACACCACTGCAGCACTTTGTTGGCTTCTCTGTGTTGCACCCTGCCTCATGCTCAGCTGGAGCTTTATCCAATCCATAGTTTTTCATACATTTACCTGAAATGGGAGGAAGAAGGGAAAGGAGAAAGACAAGAAAAATCAGTATTTCTCTCTCAGACTAAAGCAGAAGTTCCTTCTGGTCCATACAGAGTACAGGAAGGGCTGGTATCAAACTCCCTGTCCAGGAATTGTGGATTATGCTAGAGAGCATATGCTAGAGTTCACTAGAGCAAACTAATTTTTCACCCTTAGAAGAGCCTTCCTTTAATTCAAGTAAAAATATGTGAGGAAAGATCATTCTACAAATGATTAATCCAGGGATAAAGGTAATGCATCCTGTGTCTGACAACTGTCTCTCTGTCCTTTTATTGTGGTGTTGTTGCTATCCCAGGCCAAAAGAAAGCATGTTTAAATTCGTGGGAGAAGCAGAGTGAACGTCTTGAAGCCCAAACAGAAACATAGCAACGTGTTGCACAGTAGGTAACAGCAAAGAACTTCGTGGAGTTGTTTTTCTGTCTCTTGAGCTGTACGAGCAGGACCTCAGCTCTGCTTTCCGGGCAGCGCTTCCGCGCACAGCCCGTTCGGGGGGAAGGGAAGGGAAGGGAAGGGAAGGGAAGGGAAGGGAAGGGAAGGGAAG